TCTAATTAATTAGAGTTTTAACGTTTTCGAATCTTATAGAAATATTTTTAGATTATATTTTGCAAATCAAAAATATGAAAAATGAAGATTTTTGACATCAGTTGATTTCGTATACACGGTCTATTACCGTGTAAATTTTTTTTTTTCAAGTATTTTAGAGTACGCTATCCACTAAAAGAAGCCATTCCAACAACAAAATGCTAAAATAGGAAAATAGGTCTCACCTTAGTCTCTAGCTCTGTTTGAAAGGATGTGGATCCGTACATTAATAATACAAAGTGTGATAAGAAATTTTCTGGTTCCATATAAAAACCTGTATATTTCATTTGATTTTTGAGCATCATAATTTATCAGTTCCAAGCAACCAGTATTCTAAAATTTTACAGTTTTTTTAGAAGGCTCATGTCTGAATTCATACAATTGTTGGTTCTTTTGCTTTTGCTTATTTTAAATAAACTATTTCTTTGGAACTGAAAACAATTAAATGTTTTGTAAAATAGAAATATACCAATGTATGTATTGACTGCATTCTCTATCGAAATAGTTATCATTCATTTTATGCATAACTAAACTGATTGTTCCCATAACATATAAAATCAGAATCATAAATGTTTGCATATACCACAAGAGATGTTTAGTTAAACATCCAAAAAATAATGATCATATATGTGAGTATATTAGATTACTATATATAGTGAAACCAAAAACTATCATAAATATTTAACACATTATATCGCTAAACACAAGATAATGTAATTTTATTAAGTTTCTTATTATTCAATGTTGAATAATTACACTTTGGGTAATTTTATCATAACATCATTGAAAAAGCTAAAGGAATCAAAATCTTTTGAAGTAAAACAATGTTCTCATCTCTAATCGGAGATTTCGCTTTCTTGATTTTTATGAATATATCTTCACAAATTCTCGGTGCATCAAAAGCAGCAATCAGATCCTCTTTAGCTCTTTTGTAATTGTGTGATTTAATGTTCGTTACAGCTTTGTTTAAAGAACTATTAGCATCTTTATAAAGCTCGATGCAATCACGTAACACTGCCTTATTACCAAGAGAAGCTTTCCTTTCATTGAGAATCGTTTTAGCGATTCTTTCCACGTTAATCGTGTTGAATGCAGCATTCTTCGTTGATGCTATGACCAATCCTTTGATACTTGTTGCACTTTTGCTATGAGGATTCGATTCAAGAGACTTGACGCAAAAATCGTACTTCATATTCTGCTCTTTTGCTGCAGCTTTCTTGCAAGAATCACGAATCAGAGTCTGTGAGGTTGTACATAACGAAAGAAACGAAGAATTTCATTTTTTTTTAATTTATTTTTCTTTGGGAAGCAGAGAAAGGAATAATCGATTGATGAAGTAAAATTTTGATTTAGTTATTCAATTTATAGTAAAACTGGAACAAAAAATTTCAGAGTAAGAATGCGAATATAGAGTAACGGCTTTTACCATTATGGACGTAACTGTTCATTTGAATTAAATTATATCCTTTTTGTTCATTCATCTTAAAACTATTTTTTTTATAAGATATATAAATCATTGTTTCTAGCATACTCAATCTATATAATAAATATAAAAAAATTGTAAAATATTCAATTTTAATGATTAGTATTTCTCAAGTTTCAAGTTGACTAGTTTATTTGTTCTATATAGTTCAACATGCAAATCCGGCTTTCCATATGGGCACATTAAATTTAGTCAACTCGTTTTAATGTGTTTCTAAATTTCAAGAATTTTGCGTAGGAGCTTGATTCCTTTTCTTTTTGTTTGATGTCCACCTTAAAATTAGGAGTGTACATTGTTGCATTTGAGCTCTATTTCAGGTCACTAAGGGGTTAATGTAGCACTAGAGGAAAGAGGAGTCAGAATGGAGAAGAAGAGTCCAACCAAAAGCAAACCAATAAGTCTTTAGCTCTGTTTGAAAGGATGTGGATCCGTACATTAATAATACAACGTGTGATAAGAAATTTTCTTGTTCCATGTAAAAAATTCTACATTTCATTTGATTTTTGAGCATTATAATTAGCCAGTTCCAAGCAATCAGTTTTCTAAAATTTTGCAATATATTTTAGCAAGCTCATGTCTGAGTTCATACAACTGTTGTTTTTTTTTGCTTTTGCTTGTGTTAAAAAAACTATTTCTTAGGTATTAAATTATTTAAATGTTTTGTAAAATTGAAATAGACCAATGTATGTATCATTGCATTCTCTATCAAAATAGTTATCATTTATTTTTGCATAACTAAACTGATTGTTCCCATAACACATAAAATCAGAATGATAAATGTTTGCATATATGAAAGAGGAGATTTTCTAGGGTTAGAACTACTACTCTCAATATCTCTCTACACTTGCCATTGTAGTATCGAGAGGTTATCAATCCAATCCAAAGGCTAAAGAACATATGGGATGCATAAAACTTGCTAAGCTAGGCCTAATCATATAAAAAGAAGGGTTCAAACTAACAACCTAAAGTGAACAAAGAAATGCAAAACAGAGCAAACTAGATATGCGAATTAAGACTATAAATAAAAGACAAGACTCAAGGTTATAAGCAATAATGGTCAACTGGCTATAAGAGTGACTTAAAGGGTTTTCTAAACAAGGCAATCATCAAGCATAATCATAAGCAAGCAATTCTCAATATTGCAATCCTAGACAAGGTATCTAAAAGGAATCAGCTTGGCGTCAATAAGCAATTCATATTCAATAATGTCAAACCCACTTGTGATGGCGTATTCTTCAACCATGAGCATAAAGAACATAACCATTCTAGCCTAAGAGAAGTACTAAGCAAGTAAACAACTCACACCCAATCAAGAATTCAGATCAACCTATTAATCTTGTGAACCATATAGGGACCTAAGTAGCTAATCAACCATTCAAGAACATAGATTTAAGCTCACAGTTGCGTAATCCTAACAATGCTAAACAATGAACAGTATTCAAGCAAAGACATGATCATTCAATGCAAACTATCTAACCATTAAGCAAGAGTCCTAGAACAAGCACTATATAGCCCTAAGCGAATCATCTAGCAAGCTGAACTATCACTTTGGTGTTGCTGAACAAAGGAAACATAGACCAAGCTAGACTATCAAACCAAATAGGCGAATCATGCTAAATAACAAGTCATCAAGCCATTAAGCGAACCATTTGCATCAACAAACTATATTCAATCAAAAGGGAGAATCTTTATGAACAATAATCACTTTGCATGAGAAGGAAACAATAGAGAACAGGATAAACAATAGCCTATACACCCTTAATCAACTCATCTTTTAAGCAATGGTTTAGACACTAACTCACATTTTTGATTCATAATAAGAATCTAAAGACAACTTCCCTTCATTGTTATACTAAGCCTTAAGCACAAGTTAAGCAAGACATTACATCAACCAAAACTTCTTTCAAGCATTCTAGCAAACACCCTAAGTGCAATACTAAAAAAGCCTAGGATCTAGCTTTTCTAACAAAGTGGTACTAAGCATTAATAATAATCACATAAGAAGATTTAATCATAGATCTAACAATCTAAACAGCCATGAACATCAAAGGAACCATTTTTGTTCTTCAAAAACCAAGAATCTCTAAAAAGCAAGACAAAAATTCGAAACTAACAAAGGCAATAACAAATGGAAAACAAGACTAGAAGATGAAAGACTTAAGATTAAAAGATGAAAGACATAAATGAAAAGTATAAACAATGATCCAATCTCTTACCCTTAAAAATATTTGTTCTAAGATCTATGAAGAAACTAAAGCACAAGCTTTGGAGGCAAAAGAAAGGATAAAGATAAGAGTTTAGGTCTAGGCTGTTTATAGAAGAGCCTTAAAACGATCTTGGTCAACAAATAAAGAGGTCTACAAAAAGTTAACTTTTTGTCTCGGATAAGTTTGTATCGAGCAAGGACAGGAGTGGTTTTGCTCAATGTAACTCTTCGGTATGGATTGCTGGGTGCAGACCGTATTGCTAAAATCGTCGTATCTTTTCAACCACTGATTGGAATGACCTGATTCCAACTTCATTGGAAAGCTAACTCGACCCTCTTAATTTCTATGAAGGAAGCTGAGGCTGAATCGAACTGTAAAGGCACCGTTCGGGTCGATCAATCAGATGATCAAAATCTGTCCTGCATCTGTCTGAGCATTAGGTGTTTTGCTCGATGTACATGCCCGATATGATATCCATCGGGCATCTTGCTCAGCGTCCGGGTTCAGTCAGCTCGATGTATGGTAGTGGAGATTGTATCGAGCAGAGCTTTGCGAGGTTCTGCTTGATGTGCGTCCTCGATATGATCTCCCTCGCGAAGCTAGCTCGATGTACGAACTATCCACCATGCCTTCTTGAAATTGCTGTAACTTTCTAACCCGGGGTCTGAATGACATGATTCCAACGCCATTGGAAATATCACTGAGCCCTCTACAACGTTTATGAAGGATGTAGAGGCTGAATCTAGTAAAAGACCTTCGTCCGGATCCATACATTTCGCACCTCCAATTGCATTCCCCTCCACGGTATAAGTCTTGGATGAGATTTTCAATGCTTTCAGCTCAGTTATTATGGTCCACACAATTCACCATTCTCCACTAAGTCTCCTAAACTCCATATAAACCTGAAAAAGACTCCAAACCATGCAAAATATGCAATGCCTAGTCTAAAACCTAACATGTCTAATATGGATGCAAAAGGGACAAAATATGATGAATAAATGTATGAAATGAAACAAAACTTGAACTAAATGTATGCTAAAACATGGTAAATTATGAGGCTATCAATATACCACAAGGGATATTAAGTTAAACATCCAAAAATATGATGATCACATATATGAGCATATTAGATTACTACATATAGTAAAACCAAAAACTATCATAAACATTTAATACATTATATCGCTGAACACAAAATAATGTAATTCTAATAAATTTCTTATTAATAAATGTTGAATAATTACACTTTGGGTAATTTTATCATAACATCATTGAAAAAGCTAAAGGAATCAAAATCTTTTGATGTAAAACATTGTTCTCATCTCTAATCAGAGATTTCGCTTTCTTGATTTGTTTGAATATATCTTCACAAATTCTTGGTGCATCAAAAGCAGCCATCAGATCCTCATTAGCTATTCTGTAATCATGTGTTTTAGTGTTTGTTAAAGCTTTGTTTAATGAACTATTAGCATCTTTATAAACCTCGATGCACTCATGTAACGCTGCCTTATTACCAGGAGAAGCTTTCCTTTCATTGAGAATAGTTTTAGCGATTCTTTCCACATTAATCGTGTTGAATGCATCATTCTTTGTTGATGCTATGACCAATCCTTTGATACTTGTTTCACTTTTGCAATGAGGATTCGATTCAAGAGACTTGATACAAAATTCGTAATTCATATTCTGATCTTTCGCTGCAGCTTTCTTGCAAGAATCTCGAATCATAGTTTGTGAGGTTGCACATATCGAAAGAAACGAAGAATTTCATTTTTTTTAAATTTATTTTTCTTTGGGAAGCAGAGAAAGGAATAATCGATTGATGAAGTAAAATTTTGATTTAGTTATTCAATTTATAGTAAAGCTGACACAAAGAATTTCAGAGTAAGAATACGAATATAGAGTAACGGCTTTTACCATTATGGACGTAATTGTTCATTTGAATTAAATTATATCCTTTTTGTTCATTCATCTTAAAACTATTTCCTTTATAAGATATATAAATCATTATTTCTAGCATACTTAATCTATATAATAAATATCAAAAAATTATAAAATATTCAATTTTAATGATTAGTATTTCTCAAGTTTCAAGTTGACTAATTTATTTGTTCGATATAGTTCAACATGCAAATCTGGCTTTTCATATAGGCACGTTAAATTTAGTCAACTCGTTTTAATGTGTTTCTAAATTTCAAGAATTTTGCGTAGGAGCTTGATTCCTTTTCTTTTTGTTTGATGTCCACCTTAAAATTAGGAGTGTACATTGTTGCATTTGAGCTCTATTTCAGGTCACTAAGGGGTTAAGGTAGCACTAGAGGAAAGAGGAGTCAGAATGGAGAAGAAGAGTCCAACCAAAAGCAAACCAATAAGTTGCAGGAGGCCATTCCGTGTAGACAGACCGTGGAGGGCACCTCTTTCCCGTCCAGAAACTCAACCGTACACCGAGGGACCCGTGCTGTAGCGATCATACCGTGGAGTGAGATCCGTGCAATGATGTACCTCCATGGTGGCAACTGAATCGACGATGGACATCTGTACGTCGATGAGTCTGCTCGGCACAAAGCGCCTCAGGACATACCGACTTCCATACCGACGAGATCCTCTCTGTGTCCTGCCCGCTGCGTGCCAGACCAAAACTCAGCCAAAGAAAAACACCGAGTCAATTGATCCTTCAAAGCACTTCCAACCGCACCAAGCGCATGCATCGACGAGGGCTACTCCAAATCCTGCTCTACATGACCAATCCAAGTGTTGACTTAGTCATTTTTATCCTTCCCTATAAATAGTCTAAACCTAAGAACCTTTGCTTGATCCAAGTTTTTAATTCCTTAAGCTTAAAAATTCTTTCTGTTTTGTTTTCTTTGGAAGAACAAGTTGATCTTGGATAATTTTAATAAATTTTTGCACTTGTGTTTATTTGTTTATCATCCTCTAATCATGCTTAGCCATATTCTCATGGTTCTAAGTATGGTTCATGAGTAGTTTTCTTGGATTTTGAGATGGGATGATTAGGGTGATTTGATGGTTGATTAATGGTGTATAGTGCGTAATTCTTTCATATCCTTACTTGTTTAATCTTCTTAATGCTTGATTAGCCTTGGGAAAGGTATTCATGTTAGGAGTTTTGATGCATTGCAAGTGTTTGTTGAAATTCTTGAGTGAGTTAAATAAGTGGTTTGTATGCTTAGCCAAAGGAATTAGTTTTCTAAGGTGCTTATTGACTTTATAGAATTGAATCTTAATGCTTGCTGATTGTGTTTCCACCATTGACCATGGGTTAGGAGTGTGATTATTAAAGGGATTAGATTAGTCTTGTCTTGATGTTCTATGCCTAAGGATTAGCGTTGTTTTGTTGTTTGAGCACCATTGATCATCCAAAGAATCATCGTAGTACCAATTTACCCATCTTGAGACCATTTGCGTTTTATTGCTTAAGTAACCTCTATTGCTTTGTTTTGCTTATTCTGAATTTACTCTTGCTTAGTATAAATCTCTTGCTTTAGAATTGATCTTAGTTTTCTTGTTTGATCATTACTTCCTTCTTGAGTTTAAATTCTTTTAAAACCCCCATTATAGGCTTAGCTAAACAAACTTCTGCATCTTCTCTACACTGTCCCCATGAGGGATTGATAACCTCCTGTGCTGCAATGAGAAATTGAGTCACAAGAAATAAAAAGTCTTGTATCAGATCTGAGCTTAGGTTTTGAGTGGTTGAGCTTCAATACATTCCTTGGCTCCTACAATGGAATTGTTGACGATTTCCTCCACCGAGTATTGTTTGTCACTGAAAATCTTATTATTTCTCGTTGTCCATAGGTACCAAATTAGCCATGGGGCAAGCGGAGCCGAAGCAATGCCAATCGGAGGAAGACAGATTAGTTGTTGAAGTATTGATCAATCTGTAATAAAGTCACAGTCTTGGTTTAATGTGAAAGAGTCACGAAGAGGAGCTGGTTCTGAAACCTTCTTAGCAAAGGAGCAATGTAATAGCACATGGATAATTGTTTCGAACTCCCCACATCGAATGCACGCTGGATCCATGAGGATTTTCCTTGACACAAGTCTCTCTCCAATCAGGAGAACCCCTTTTGTAGCTTTCCAGGCGAACAATTTTAGCTTTGGTGCAGTTCTTACTGTCCATATATCGGCTATCCACTTCAATCCATTTGTAGCTTGGTTCACCTTGTTATTTCTTCAAGATCCTGTTTTTATAGAGTAGATACCGGATTGTGTCTTCGGCCAAAGTAATTTATCAGGTACTCTTGTCTTGCTTGGTCGTAGGGTTAGAATCTTATTCAAGTGAAATGGGAGGGTTTGCTGCACCTTTTGCACATCCCACTTCGTAAAATTTGGGAGGAAGAGGTCAGATACCAAGAGCTTGTCTTTATAGTTTATCCGGGTATCGACATGATTTTTGCAGTTTGCAATGGTGTTTAAACTTATATTTTGTTTCCAGAACAATGCTAGGCCTCCACTTCCATGTCCCTCCGGTGGCACTAGTACATTACTATTGTACCCCAACCCTTTAAAAGCTTTGAGGACGACCATGTCGGCATTCGTTGTCTCAGAGAAGAAGGTGATATCCGGAATGAACTCTTCGCGGATACCTTCCAGCTTTAAAACTGTTTCGAGGTTGCCAATTCCCTGATAGTTCCAAGCCATAATGGTTCAGGAAGAGGAATTGCGGGGAAGTGAAAATCTCCCTTCTTCTTCTCCATAGCTGGTATAATGGTGGTATTTGGTCCAGCTTTGTCATTGCTTGGTGTGATCGGTGATGCTGTCAACCGAGAGCATGTCTTAGCGCCATCACTCGTTGTCCCCTTCTTTTGTAAGTTTTTGTTTCTTCTTGGTGGAGTTTGTACCAAGTTTAGCTTTCTGATTTTTTGAGCCCGCTAATTCGTGTTGGCTACTAATATCTTGATTTAGCGGTGGGGGGGGGGGGGGGTGCCTCTTCTGTTTTTTGCAGTGGCTATCTCAGCGGTTTAGAGTGGTCCAAGCCTAGGTGGGAGACCCGGGGATTATAATGCTCCATATGCCTTAATGAGAACCATTATGCCACAAGTCTACCACCTATCAATGTGCAAGACTATGAGATTAGTCTGCATATCATAAAATTGATTAAGCAGAACCAGTTCAATGGTAATACATCAGAGTATCCACTGGAACTACATCAATGAATTTGAATTTTGTTTGCAATACCAAACAATCAATCGAGGCTCCAACATATTATGTGAACTACAAGTTGTTTCCGTTATCTTTGTGTGATAAGGCATGTAGATGGCTAAAGTCACTGCTTCCAAGCTCACTAATATCATGAAATGAATACAAGGCTTTGTGTTTCACATCCACTTTTACACCTGCTCGGCACCTCCAAACCAAATCCCCATGTACAAGATTTATGATCAATAAAGAGCATATGAATCCTTTTATGAAGGTCGGGACCATTACAGTGAGTACATTATGGACTGCCCTCACCATTGGTTTTACAAAGATATGCATCTTGAACACCTTTAATAAAGGTATTGAGTGAACATTCAAGACATATTTTGATACAGATAACAATTGACACATTATGACTAACAATCTTAAAGAGTATATTGTTGTGAACCATGGCTGGTGTGGCTGTGCGAGAGATGACATTGAAATTTGGAAAGTTGGATAAGTTTGGGGGAGTAGATTTTGAAAGATGGCGAAAGAAGATGCATTTTCTTTTCACGACGCTCAAAGTAGTGTACATTCTAATCATGTTATTTCACATTGATATAACGAGTCTGTGGAGGAAACAAGGAAGCAAATTAAATGGGAAAACAAAGACTACATATTTGGTGACCATATTCTAAACGGTATGCCATACCCACTCTTTTATTTTTTTTATCATAATATAGAATCCGTAAAAGAGTTGTGGGATGCGTTAGAATCAAAGTACAAGGTAAAGGATGCTTCTAGTAAGAAGTACGTTGTGAGTAATTTTTAATAATTACAAGATGTCTGATTATATATCAGTTACGAAGCAATACAATGAATTGCTTCGCATCATAGGAAAATTCGTTCAACACAACATGAAGATGGATGAATCCATTTCAGTGTCGAGTATCATCGACAAGTTACCACCTTCATGGAAGGGTTTCAAACACATGTTGAAACACAAAAAAGAAGAATTGTCACTTGTACAACTTGGCAACCATTTATGCATAGAGGAATCTCTAAAGGCGCAAGAGGGAGGAAAACCAAAAGAGGCTTAAGAGCGTTTGTTGAAATTGTAATAAGCTGTCACTTGAGGCGTGATTATCGGGAAAAGAAGGATAAGAGTCGAGCAGGACAAAACCGTCTGGGGCAAGGGTCTAAGGATCAAAACCCATTTACTCATCTAGGTCAGAGCTCTCCTTTTGATTTATATTCTAATGTGAATTATGTATCAAAGATTTATGAGGCATTTTATGTGCAAGATGATAAAGCGACGTGGTGGGGTGACTCAGGTGCAACAACTCATGTTTGCAAAGATTGTGGCTGATTTGAGACATATGAACCTGTTCAAGATGGATTTGTACTTCATATGGGCAACGAGTCAACAATCTCTATCCTAGGCTGTGGAAAAAATGGTGTTAGAATTTAGTTCCAAGAAAACTTCTAATCTTGAAAATATACTTCATATACCCATAATTAAGAAAAAATTAGTCTCTGGTAGTGTTTTAAA